CAACAGACATGAAGGAAAGAAGAGTCATGTTTTCTAGTATTAGCTACAGAGGAAACCCTGCTCTAGTTTAGAGTGGTGTAAATGTCGCGTAATGCCAACAAAAGCACAGCTACTGCTACATGAGCCCAACGCAGCTGACAACACGTGTGATCCTTGACTTTCGCATTAGTGTATGTTACAATCTGCAGAGCGTTTGCCTTTAGAATTATTTGATCAACATTAACAACCTCTTCTGAAAGCAGACAGAAATGTGTAATGGAAACTAATCTTGTAATGTCAGCAAAGTTTTATCTAGCACTACTAGTAGGAAGGCTGGGGAATTCAACTTGCAGTTCAAGAAGCCTCCCTGAGCTGGAGAAGTGAGAACTGATGAGGGTCCTGGGAAGACAGGAGGATGTGTGCGAGAATGATACTAAAACTAACAGCATTGTTCATTTTCATTAGGGTTCATACAGAACTGTTTTGATCTACAAATAAACTGATTTTTATTTGAGCAACATTACACATTATACAACCCAAAACTGATTTGATGCTTTTAAAGAGGATTTACATAATACGATTAAACATAACCACCAGCTCGACACGGAAAAAAGAAATTATATTTACTTGTTCAATTTCACTCTTAAAGGAAGGAAGAAAGATGTTACATAGCCATAATTTGTGGGCAGTGTCACAGGAAAGGGCTGGCCCTGTAGGTGTTTGGGACAGCATTTTTCTGACACTATACATTTAAAGGTTATGTTTTTAAGGTAAGATTTCCATCACTTTTATATTGAGAGCAGGCTTCATCTACCACCATACACTAATTCTTTGACTGTAAGATCGTAACGTTTGCTTACTGAACATTTCAACAAAGCAGATTTAACACACAGAATCACAGAATGGTAGGGGTTGGAAGGGACCTCTGAAGATCATCTGGTCCAACCCCCACCTTTGTCTTTGCATGATAAAGTCTCATTAGTGCCTTAGTACATGCCTCCATCACTTAATTCAGGAAACTTTACTCCATAGGATCAAGCTGATAGCTGTCCTAAGAAAGATCCTGCCTTCAGAGTGAAACAGTAGAGCAAACTATTCTCCTGGTACATTTAACAGGAGGAAAATCATCACAGATAAAGTTCCGCTTCTGGAAATACTTCCCTACCATTGCCTTGAGACAAATTCACTGCTGATGTAACCCCATTGACTTAATTTCCATTTTCACTCTGAAAAATTACTTTGACACATTGGTAAATTTATTAAATAATTGTGACATGGCTCCTAGTTTGAGAGAACAAGCCTAGGAAAATTAGCCCACTGAAAACACAAGGAACCTCAGATACTAATTCAAACTAACAATCCTGCCCTAGACATAGAGCTTGCTCTAATAAAAGGAATACATCACCATTTTTTCCCCCTCAAAGATAGCCATTAATTCACATCATGTAGCTAGATAATACAAAACCAGCAAAATGGCACCGTGTTTTGTTGTAATGCTACAGATATCCTGTTCCAGAAC